AAACTTATCTCTATTTCCGAAAGGGTGTGTGTTTAAAGATCACATTACCATGCCATTCCTATTAATACTTAACAGAATTACACCATGAAATGGTAAGATCTAGTCTAATTTTAAAAGAATTGGTCTAAACAGGTGCAATTATTCTTCATATCATTCTTAACTTGAGAAGTAAAACATGATTTTTTCACAATAAATTTTACTACAAAGTAAACATATAACTCGACGCTAATTGCCTATAAATAAATGAATTGGTCTATAGGACCGACTTTTTAACTTCCACCTAAATTGTTGTCAGAGCCTTCTACAAATCTCCCCATTTCTAGATTTTTAGAAAGAGGCAAGAGGATACCAAATGTACAGATAATATTTCTTAATTCATTCCGATTTACATTTTTTGATCAAGACGATGATTTCAAGCTACAAAATTAGAAATCTAAGATAAATATTCATTTTGTATTTTTGATAAGGAAACAGCACTTGATTATTTACAAATAAAACATAATAGAAAATGTCAGAATGTATAATCATAGATAACGATAATTTATACATTTATTTCTAGACAAGTTAAAATATTTTATTTAAAGATAACCATTAAACATAATCTACCATGAAATATGATGGAGATTTATCTTTTAATGTGAAAATTATTATATTTGATATGCAATTTATATTTTTGCACCTGTGAAACAACAAGAACAGGAATGAAAAAATTTCTTGGACAGAAAATTTTCCTGGGGGGAAATATTTATCTAGGTTTTTTGTGTGCGTGTTTCAAACTATTATTTTTTCTGCGCAGAATAACAAAGTTAATTGTTAATTTTACCTTCACTCCGCTTTGCCATAGGGTGTAAAATGCTATTTGGCAGCTGTAAAAAGTTGCCCCGTACTTCACTTCAGTGTGGTTATATTTTTCTGGTCCTTCGGGAGCATTGCTGCCAGGACTATTAAGTATTGAGAATTGAGTACCGCTCAAGCCGGCGCTAAGGGGTGTGAGGGATGTTGCACTTATTCATTATCCATCATGTACAGACTCAATCAAACCGTGTCTGCAATTTTCAAGTAATTTTGTTGTGATTAATGCTTCCTAGGGATCACTTTGTTTCCAGATTTTTGTAAACGTTTGTTTAGTTAGCCAATGGCTAAAGTGTTTTGTTAAATAAGTCTGTCTTTTTAAAGCACGCCAATGAAAAATGATACTCATATTCTAAAATGTTCATATAACAATCTTTGCATAATCGGTTTACTCTATTTACCAATGAAACTGTGCGGGGAAGTTCAAAATAGACAAACCAGACAAATCAGGTACAAAATTCAAGAAATCTTCAAAGCCGATTTTGTTATAAATATTGTTTAAGTTTATTTGTTTGAGTCTTATCTTCTAAGCACGTGGCGAATTATTTAACAAAGATAAAAGATGTATGTTGTGTCTTTAATATTTTATACTTCACACCAATACTATCTTAAAGGCGTGAGCTTAATGAGGTTGGCAGATATGTCTGAATAACCAGTGAGCTACATATAACCTTGTTTAGTGATTTAGTGATAGAGAGAAGTGATATAACACAGTACAATCAAACATGTAAAAAATGGTTAGAGCCATGAAATAAATAAATGCATTGTATATGTCTTGTTTTTTTTTTTTTTTGTTTTTTTTTGTTTTATTTGTTTTGTTTTTTTTCCCGTCATCACTCGTCTGAAGTAATTGTTTATATATAAGGTGATTGGCGACGTTTTTGTCAAGCTGTTGAATAAATGTACAACATTGATGACATGTTGGTTTTGACGGTCATCAAAAGTTTTTCTTTCTTTTTATCTTCTTTAATACGTTATTTTTTTCTGTACAATTTATACTCGTAGTATCTGAATTATGTGATGCGTTTACATGTTGTTGCTGAAAAAGATAAATGTGCGTTTTAACAACGTACACTTTTATTAATTAATGTTCTGTCCAAAGTGTCTCAGCTTGTCTATGACTTTTCATGAAAGATAAAGCTGCTATCAAAACACATTGAATGTCTCGCAACTTAGAATCTTTATACAAAAATGTAATATGTTTTATTCACAAAACTATTTTTGAGGCTTAATGGGCTTTAAAATATTTTTATATTAATGCTATATGGTTTAACTTATGACGCTGTGTGTTAACTGTTTATTTTGTTTTGATTCCCAGAAGAAATTATTTCTTAAACAGAATACAACTTTCTTCTTCATTCGCAGTCGTTTTTTATCAAGACATTATGATGCATTAAATTAAAATTGTTTCACCTATGTTATACCAGCTGGAGTATTTGATAAGCTTTCCCTGGCTGGATTATAACATCTCTTTGTCATTTGCGTAATTTGATATAGGAAATGTATACCTTTAGCACAATTTTTCGTGGAACTGGTTTCCTGCCGTCTGTTTACACTAAATGACTTCAAGTCATTATAATGATTGCATAAATCATCATTTTAGCTAAAAGTACATCTACTGTACTTTAAATTTCACATCCTATACTTACGCGATAAGATGAACACCAATCATTTTAATCTTAGAATCGGTTTGTGTTTGCCAAGATAATGAAGATAAATGATGAATAAGATAACTATTGACGCAAATTTGTCATCATTCATAAAAATGATTTATACGTTTCACTTAAATTCATTCAAAAATGAATACGAGGCATCGTCCTGTCATAATACTATCAACAATTACATTCAAAAGAAGCAGCATTTAAAACGACATTTTTATAGAAAATAGTTATACGCGATTCACATTTAATATTCTTTTGTAAATGCACTAGAATCAATATATTATTAATTGCTGTTGTATGTTTGTCAATGTAAAATAAGTATTAATTTATGATATTTGCAAATAAATTTCTGAAATAACATACATTTGATTTAAAGTTGAATGTCCTTAACGTATATGTTAGGTTGTCTTTTTTATCCAGCGAACCATTTGGGGTTGGATTTATTAAACGCATTTAAAAGAAGGTATTTTCGTTCTGATCAGGTGAATCAATAATGAAAGTATGCAGAAAATAAAATAAAAATTTATTCTGAATTTAACAGTTTAGTATGTAATTTATGCAAAAGATACCTCTTTTGCCGAGTTGTTTCGATAGAATAGTAAATATACTTCGAAATAAATTGTCAATAAGTAAATTTGATTCCTTGAGAAGAAATTTCGTCTGCATAAGCACGTTCCAAAACGAGGTGTGGTCCATTTGCCTGCAACACCTGTACTTTGATACAAGTGCCGAAACTCCCTACAAATTACCGCTCAAAGTGAATATTTTGTTGGTGTTTGTTCGTTCGTTCGTTCGTTCGTTCGTTTGTTTCTTTTCTATTTTAGCTTCACTTTTTAACAAATGAATATTATGCTCTGTGTTATGGAAGATGTCATTTGCTGCAAAAGCTTCCAGTAAATGTGGCACGTGATGTTTTAATATATGTCCGGTGGTTAATCATTTCTGTTTACTTAGAGCTGATAAATTACCGTTGAACTTGTCAAACGTATCATTTCTCTTATCAAAACATGCCTGTACCATTTGATATCAAATATTATATCCCCTACAGATATATGCTGACATTGACAAGTCTGAGAGATATATTCGGGTAAATTTTCAGCAGCGGCAGGGGTATCATCATCACATGTGCAATTCATCAGACGGTTTGTTGAGGTCAATTATTTTAGAATGTTCAATTGATATTCTAATAGCAATAACATTTTATTGGAAGGAAGAAATAAAGATGTTATTAATTATTTCAGGTAAAACGTTGACACACATTCACATTCTAAAGTGCAAGGAGGGCTAACAAGACATTTTTAAACATCCGAATATGATCTTGTTAGAATTTGACTTCAGAGCATTGGAATGCAACAGTGCAACATGGAAGTATGTTCCTCTACTTGGTATTCGAGTTTTGCGTGTGGTCCTTTTACTAATCTGAAATTCACAGCTGGGATATTAATGATATACTTTCCGAATAATTTGTTTAGAGTAAAAATAAACGTACGTGGTCCTTTTATTTATACAATGTAACATATATGTTAGATTTTTTAAGTTACGTAAGTCTTTTTCAAAACATTTCTATCAGTAATATAAACACTATTTGACTTTTATGTAACATTATACTTAATCAATTGCTTTTCTTTTGTTCTAGATTTGGTGAATCGCCAAACACTTGTGAATTTATGGTGTTCTAGGATACCACCAATTCCACCTTGTCGAGAACTACACACGTCTTATAAAGGTTACATTATAGGTTTATACATTAAATGAAACATATCTACTTTGCTGCGAAATTATCACCAACTTCTTTACCATAAATTTATCAGAAGATACACTACAAATTAAATGTTATCAGACACCATCATAGTGTAATAATCTTTAAGCTTTATGAATAATAGACAGCCTTCTCCTTTCCTTTACTCGAAAATTCACGAAGATAAGAAAATAATTACGAATACATGTTCCCAGATAGCATTCTATATGGGACCCATGTGGGGCCCATATGGGCACCTATATGGGTCCCATTTGGGCTGCCCATATGGGCCCCATATAGGAAGTGCAACCGGGTTCCAAATGGGTCCCATCTGGGCAGCCCTTATACTCAATATGGGATTCACATGGGCCCCATCTGGGCAGCCCATGTACACAATATGGGCCCCACATGGGCCCCATATGGGCAGCCCTTGTACTAAATATGGGTTTCAAATGGGCAGCCCAGATACTTCCATTATGGGTAGATTTTGAATTCCGGGGTAGATCTATTTTCAATCACTTCAATTATAAGTTTGCTGGACGTTAAGATAGCAACCGCTTGCTACAGAGCATGATTCTTGTACTTGCGTTAAATATTCAAGTGATGTTTTAACTCATTCTGTTTCCTGGAACAGACTAAACTTAGAAAAGTGTACAATATAAAAATCCGAGTAAACTGTACATATTTGTAAATCCACAGAATTTCATTTTGACTACATAGTTTTTAATTAAAAAATACAGAAATATTAATTATTATTCAAAAAGTCCTATGTAGTAAATATTACTTTGGTACACTAAATAAGCAACATGTAATGGAAAACTGTTTATAATGTACGAACAAAATAATTAAAAATGCAGTTTTATAACATTAGATACCTTACAGATCACTATAAGGAAAAATGAAACTTATGCTAGACACTGGTAAAACTTTACAGAAGGTCTTTGGAACTCCAAGAAATATATGTGTATAATGTTTAAATTTCAGTGAATCAACAGTATGACCCCAAATGTCTTTTTAACTTTCTACATAATTCATAGAAAAAGTATTATACATTTACTGTAATTCATTACAAATTTCTATCTACCGATTACTTTCATTTTCAATGATATAGATCTACATCAATTAATATAAAAAGTTGTTCATTACAACCATGTATTACACTTTGGTATGGTAGTGCTGAAGAAAAAAATGTTATGCAGCTTGTGAAAAGTAACAAATATAATAAAACAAAACCTTAGCACAGTTGTAATACTGTTCATAGATGTGTAAACAAAATATTATGCAGCTGATGAAAAACAATTAATATAATTAACAAAACCTTGGCACGGTTGTAATACTGTTCATAGATGTGTAAACAAAATATTATGCAGCTGATGAAAAAAAATTAACATAATTAACAAAACCTTGGCACGGTTGTAATACTGTTTATAGACGTGTGGACAAAATATGCAGCTAATGAAAAGTAACAAATATAATACACAAAAGGTTGGCACTGTTGTAATTGTCAACAAAATATGCAGCTAATGAAAAGTAACAAAAAGTAATACAAAAAAGGTTGGCACGGTTGTAATACTGTTTATATAGACGTGTTAACAAAATATGCAGCTAATGAAAAGTAACAAATATGATACACAAAAGGTTGGCACGGTTGTAATTCTGTTAATAGACGTGTAAACAAAATATGCAGCTAATGAAAAGTAACAAATATAATACACAAAATCTTGGCACATTGAAATACTGTTTATAGACATGTAAACAAAATATGCAGCTGATGAAAAGTAAAAAATAGTTTGTACAAGTTTGTAAAAATCAATAATAATTAAAATGTGATATTACACAAAGATCAAATTTGTTGTGAAGAAATTCATTAAAAAAATTGTCAGTAAAAATAGTTGGTTTCAGTAATTTCTCCGATATTATCAAAGTTTCAACAATAACAACAATAAAGATTACAAGAATCATCATTGTAAAGTATTTCAACTTTATTTTAAAGGTTAATACCATATCAATACATGTGTTCCCTGTTAGTGTCAAGTTTTGACAAGATGTTATAATTGTATTGATCAGTATCAAAAACATTCCCAAGCATTTAATGTCTTGATTTAAATAGTAACAATGTATTTTGTTTGTTTGTTTCATTTTACGCCTTTTACGTCATATAGGCGGGTAGTTTCCTAACCATCGTTTCTGGAGAGTTACACCAGTACTAGACTACCTTCCTCCGTGCAGTAACAATGTTTAATTAAAAAAACAACAAAAACAGCATATAGACAACAGAAAAACAGCATATAATGTCAACAACTAACGTAACATAGCAGCAGAATATACTGACTAGAAGGCAAAATTTGACTAGACAAGAATTTTGCATTTACAAGAAAGACATGCTATGCTGATGACCTCAAACATTAAAATTAGCAACAAAAAGTATAACAAGATAAACAAATGAGCCGCTTACTGTAGTTCTGACCCTTATCACATTTTAAAAATACCTTGATACATATTGACTTTCAATCAGTGGAATAACTTATATGCAGATGAAGTAAAGGTTTGAAAATGTAAAATAAAAGTCATTTATTTTATGCTTTTGAGTGTATTACTGATGTATCCGTGAAAAATATATTTGATAATTTCACAGTGAAATGATTAAAATTTCAAACTTTTCTATGACGAGACTACTTTTTAAAGATTTTATCATCATTCAAATTTTTTGAATTCAATAAATAATATCATGGCTATTCAACGTTGATTGTCAAACTTATTTTTCAGCCCAAGACTTCCTGTATTTATGAGAAATTGGACTTAAATTCAACTAAAATTGATGTTAACAGTGGTGAAAACAGATTTAATATTAACGTTAATATTGAGGAAATTTCATTAGCATAAAATAAAAAGACACTTTATTGTTTGTTGTGTAAGATGTAATTTTATATCATTGAAGGAACTTTAAAAAACAGTGTTCTCACGAGCGCATAGCCACTCATGAGAATACTGTTTTTAAAGCTCTCTTGATGATATAAAATTTCATCTTACACACAAACAAACAAATATCCTCTATAAATTTGCATTTTTAAATTAAAAACATGTCTAGTCACTTCCTTCATTTTCTTCAGGTAAGGTCTCTGACACTTTGTTTCTTGCTTTCCTTCCCCCATCGCGGTCCCGCGCCCTAGCCAGCCACATTGAAACCTCTATTTCAACATCCTTCCTCGTTGCAGCCTTTGTCGGCAAGTTCCTTTGGACACATTCTACAAAACAAGCATTCTTATCCTTAAAGAATGAAATGAAGTGAAATAAAGGTATTGAAACCATTCATAAGCCACCTTGTAGCATTTTGAGCAGTATAAATTGGAATATAAACTAATTCTGGTATGTTTTACCAAATATAGATGTTTGTTTCCTGGTTTTACATAGCTTTTAACAATATTTCTGTGATATCGCTGCAGTCAGTTGTAAGCTGAGATCATCTTATCGGTGTATCAGTAAAGAATGTTAAGGTAAGCAAATAACTTGCTTTACAGGAAGGTGATTTCTGTTTATATTATGCATCACAACACAATGCATGGGATCAAAACCACACAGCATGTAAAATATTCTCTCTTATTAATTTCCATAAAAGCTAGTCAAGCATTTTCCTTCATTAAAGCAATACTCGAAGACACAATAACAAGATCTTGGATAATATATCTATTTTGAAGACACCACTTTGCAAATTTGTAAAAAAATCACTTACTATACAATACATTCAGTATCTAGAGGCCCACAAACTTTTTTTTCCCCTTCAGCCACTTCATATTGTACATTCTTGCCAGTTCATTTGACATGGTTTCTTTCATCAAGCGGTCAACAGTTTCCGTACATCTGCCATACCAAACATTGAGAGGAACCGCACCTTAAATAAAGCAGAACATAAACTTTTTTTAATGTTAATTTTAACACTACTAAGTGGTGGGCTGCAAGTCACCAAATGACAAATAATTGTCAACTGGACCTCAAAAACATGATCTGCCAAGAAAACTGTTTGGATTGACAAATTAAAAGATCTTTCCTCATATATTTACAGCCTAGGACAACACCTTAGTGACTTGTGCCTTTATGTTTGTCCCCTCCACCGAGTGTTATGGGGCACATTATCATTGTTTTTTTTATACAAGAGTTTATTCAATATCAACAGAATAATTTTTGATAATATAATAACAGCTCAATTCCTGGATTTTGACATAAACTCCCGTGATATATAACAGTTGTATATTAGAAAAAGAAATATATAAAATATCATTACAATAACAACCATATCAAACAGGTGTATTTTTAATTTATCAGAAAACAATGGCTATTTCAGTTGTCCGTAATAGAGACTCAGGGGTTCTTGCATTATAACTATGGAACTTAGTACATGATTCAATTTTTTTGTAGCTTTGCATATAAGACAATAGAGGAAACATAAAAACAGGTGTCTAGGTTTGTGTTCTGTTTTCATTTTTTGTTCCAAAAAGACAATGCCTCATTTTAACTTACAATTACACGTCTAAGTTGAAGCATTTATCTCTAATGTTCACGATGTTATCTCCAAAGGCGTTTCCAACTTTTGTTTTATTTAATTATTTTTCTTCATTGCCTCCGCCTTTTTTTAAAAATGTTAATGCTATTCTATTATATAAAACTTCATATCATATTGTTTAACTTTTCCAATCATGTAAATAATTTCTAAAAAATTGGTTATAATATAATTTATTGCAACAGAAACACACAGGGTTATATAGAAAGCAAACTGGTTGTCATAAAAACGATATATAGCATTAATAATCCTTTTAAAGAAATTCGTATATTTTCTCGTTTGTTCCTATCTGTTAGTTAAGCTGAATATCAATTAAAGTTAACCAAATTCAACAAAATAACGTGACATAGTGAACGTATACCACATATACATGCGAATAATCTTCATCAAATAACGTCTTATTACAATTTAAACCGGTGTCACTTTCCCTACTGCGTTGGTACAAACCAGTGAACTTTGATCACCCTTTATCTATACCATTTACAAGAAAGTGTTTTTTTTATAACAAACATAATACTATTAAAAGGAATAACAGGCCATATTTAAAATTATTACCAAATATCAAAATATTCTGATAAAGTTACATGGAAAAATTGACAACTTATTGAGACAAAGGTTTTGGTTTTCAGTTGGTTAATAGTTATAAATTAAAAATCTTACAGCTCCATTCAAACTGGTAACAACAAGTACTAAAACACTGTGTCAGTTATTATAAAAAGTTTTCTCGTTTGATAGAATATATAATTTTTCAATAGCATAGTACTGGTTACTTTCTAATCATTTCACTAAAATACAAGAACGTATTGTGAAACAATAACATTCACCATTAATGAAATTAATAATAGTCTGAATATAATCCACCGTATTTCTCGTTCCTCTTTTGAAGAAAGTACTGCAAAACGAATATCTAAGTTAATTCAATATCATTCAAAACTGCAACAAATAATTTACTGTGAAAAAAAGATATACATGTATATTTAATATGTTTGTAAAATAATTTATCAGATGAGTACAGACTAGATATATTCTTATTATAAACAGTTATATATCATTCAAATTTATGATACAGTTTGTTTTCACAGATTTTTATTTCGAGTTCTACAAGATATCATGTTATTTGAATTTTGATTAAAAACGTTTGTTTTGAAATATCTTGATAACACATATCACCTTTGTTCATTTTGATATTGATAAAAAGCAGCGGTAGCTGTGTAAATAAAACATGATATAAAACGTCAGGAAGTAGTGATAGGATTTGATTGATTTATATCTGATCTGAAACAAAACGAATAGTAGTCAAATACGTTTTTTCGATAATCATAATTATCAGACAATGAATGAAGTAGGGTTGAAAAAAAATCAAAATAATAGGTTTATATATATTTATTCTTTTAAGATAAGACATTCTAAAACGGGTTATATATATTCAATGTAATTAATTTGCAGGGAAGAAGGTTTCTATTTTTTTGTAGATAGGTCTAGTTTTCTTTTTCGGATTGTGTGTTAAAACACATGTTAAAAGTCGAAGAAAATACACAATATAGAACATTTCTTGATATGCAATGAATATATGTTTTTGAAGTATCACTTTATGTTTTACTTTAAATCAATACTTCTGTTTGAATCTAAACATATACATTGTCTTTCAGTGTAACATGTATTCGTAATTGTTTTCTTATCTACGTGAATTTTCGAGTAAAGGAAAGGAGAAGGCAGTCTATTATTCATGAAGTTTAAAGATTATTACAGTATGATTGTGTCTGATAACATTTAATTTGTAGTGTATCTTCTGATAAATTTACAGTAAAGAAGTTGGTGATAATTTCGCAGCAAAGTAGATATGTTTCATTTAATTAAAAAACCTATAATGTAACCTTTATAACACGTGTGTAGTTCTCGGTTCTCGACAGAGTGGAATTGGTGGTATTCTAGATCACCATAAATTCACAAGTGTTTGGCGATTCACCAAATCTAAAACAAAAGAAAAGCAATTGATTAATTATAATATTACATAACAGTCAAAAGTGTTTATATTACTGATAGAAATGTTTTGAAAAAGACTGCCGTAACTTATAAAATCTAACATATATGTTACATTGTGTAAATAAAAGGACCACGTACATTTTATGTTTACTCTAAACAAGTTATTCTGAAAGTATAACATTAATATCCCAGCTGTAAAGTTGAGATTAGTAAAAGGACCACACGCAAAACTCGAATACCAAGTAGAGGAACCTACTTCCCTGTTTTTCATTGTTACACCCAATGTTCCGAAGGATGACGTCATTACGCTGCTTACGGATTGGCGCCTTTTTGTCAAAATATTTATTAACTGATATAAATCAAAATGTGGCGTTAGTGTATGTGAGATATTATTTCGGAATTGAATGAAAAAAATCATTATAAGAACTGAAAATATAAATAAAATGCTTTTTATTGTTGCTTTAAAAGGCCTTGTAAACTATATAATCGAGGGTGAAAACATAACAGCCGCATATACAAGTAGTCCATAACTAGTGTTTATTGGCAGTTTAACACCGTTTTGTCCCTACCTTGTCTATAGTGACAAATCACGTGGAGTGTTACAATTGATTTTATTTTCTGCAATTTTACGATATAAGTTATCCTGATAAGCACGTAAAAGACATCTTTTTAACTGCGTTTACTTAAAGCAGCATCAAATGGTTGGCTGGATAAAAAAAGACACCCTAACATATACGTTAAGGACATTTAACTTTAATCAAATGTACTTTCAGAAAATTTATTTACAGTCATCAAAATCGTATCTCTTGACAAACATACCACCGAAATACATTGAATCTAGTGGAAAAGAATAGATGTGATTCGAGTATAAATATTTTCTATAAAAATGATGCTTTGAATGTTGCTACTTTTGAGTGTAATTGTTGACAGTGTTATGCCTCGTATTTATTTTGAATGAATTTAAGTGAAAATATAAATCACTTTTATAAATGATGACAAATTTGCGTCAATTTTTATCTTATCTATCATTTATCTTCATTATCTTGGCAAACACAAACCAATTCTAAGATTAAAATGATTGGTGTTCATCTTATCGCGTTAAGTACAGGATGTCAGATTTAAAGTACAGAAGGTGTACTTTTAGCTAGAATGATGATATGCAATCATTATAATTGCTTGAAGTCATTTAGTGTAAAAAGACGGCAGGAAACGAGTTCCATGGAAAATACCATCAAATTATGCAAAAATGTGCTAAAGGTATGCATTTCCTATATAAGATAATGCAAATGTCAAAGAGATGTTATAATACAACAAGGGAAAAGCTTATCAAATACACCATCTGGTGTAACACAAGTGTAACAATGCATTATAATGTTTGGTACCTGTAGCATTGATAAATATATGATTGTGAATGAAGTAGAAAGTTGTATACAGCTTAAGAAATAATTTCTTCTGAAAATCTAAACAAAATAAATAGTAAACACACAACGTCATAAGATAAACCATATAGCATTACTATAAAACTATTTTAAAGCCCATTATGCCTCAAAAATAGTTTTGTGATTACAAGATATTAGATAGATCTCAAATTGCAAGACATTCAATGTGTTTTGATAGAAACTTTATCTTTCATGGAAGCCATAAGCAAGTTGAGACATTTGGGGCACAACATTTATTAAACATAAAGGTGTACGTGTTATAGCGCATATTATCTTTTTCAGCAGGCACCACATAATTCAGATACTATAAATTGTACAGAAAAAAAGAATAACGTATTAAAGAAGATAAAAAGAAAGAAAAGCGTTTGATGACCGTCAAAACCAACATGTCATCAATGTTGTACATTTATTCAACAGCTTGACAAAAACGTCGTAATGACGGAAAAAACCCCAACAAAAACAACAAAAAACTAACACCAACCAAGACATATACAATGCATTTATTTATTCCATGGTTCGAACCATATTTACGCCCTTGATTGTACTGTGTTATATCACTTCTCTATCACTGAATCACATAACAAGGTTATATGTAGCACACTGGTTATTCAAACATATCTGCCAACCTCACGCCTTTAAGATAGTATTGGTGTGAAGTATAAAATATAAAATACACAACATTCATCTTATATCTGTATTAAATAATTCGCCACGTGCTTAGAAGATAAGAATCAAACAAATAAACTGAATAATATTTATCATAAAACATGTTTTGAAAATTTCTTGAATGTAGTATCAGATACACGTTTGTCTATGCAAAGATGATAAAATAGAGTAAACCGATAATGCAAATATTAATA